ATCTGAGCCCCACCCCGCCTACGTAGGATTCTCAATAAATCAGGAATTAGGGTGGTGACATTCAAACCTACAAACTCACTCAGAGACAAGATATTTAGATTAAAGGACCTAGTTGATCCAATTAGACAAAATAATATAATTTACAAAATACTTTGCGATGACAATGAGTGAGTTCAACTATCTAGGTCAAAATAGTAGGTCAGATTGTAGGTAGTCAGATTGTCGGAACATAAGAATTTAGCTAAGATTGGAATGGCGGACTACACGAAGTCAAGTAATTTAGAGAAAAGCTCAGCACTGCATAAATTAACACACAACCACACAATAGAGTGGGTGGGAGAGGGTTAAAATTCTAAGAAGTAATATAGGTAGGTGGAGAGCAAGAGAGGTTGATTACTGAATCCTGCCTGGTTCATCGAATCTACACACAACACAACACATGTAACACAAATACCAGAGATATGCATGGAAGATATTGTTACCACCGGTCAGTCAGTCAGTCAGTAAATCAGAGGAGGATAATAAATAATCTCAAAATTCTATTTCGATTCAGGTACATCACAACATTCTAATAAGTTATTTATTATGACTATAAAAATACTCGTCTTATTTTTCCGTCTGATTGTATTTGATTGATAACATTCATATTAGTATTTCTGAATGTACATTATCACATATTGATTTTATTCAGAAGTCTAATCATCATTTCTACTCATGTATATGAATGAAGCAAGAAAGTTGTGTGATTAGTGACTTGATATGATTATGAGTGGCAATAATTTGTTCTAGAAACAGACAACAGATGAGATGAATTAAAGTTGGCTTTTTATAAACACTAGTGTTCAGTTCACCTTCTTCTATTTGTTTCATTTTACAATCTAATACCATGGCTAATTTTCTTGTACAGTTTCTGACTCAAATGTACAATTGTATTCCCTTCACTAGTGGGTTTATATGTGTCAAGAAGCTAGAGTGTCACCCCACATATCTCCACCATATCATCTTTGGAGCAGGACTAAATGTGTTTAGAGCAATATTTTTTTCAGCTGTCCATAAATATATCTACTACGATAGGGGATATTGATGGTCCATCCGATTACTACACCTTCTGTTTTTCTATTTAGTCTTTGAATTTAAAGATAGTAGATGTGAGGCATAACTGAATTCCTGAAATAATTTTCTTACTGGGTAGCTTTGTCCTATAACTGATTATGAGCAATAGTTTGTACTCGAAACGTGGTCATCAGTTAATATCACTGTATAACACCACTGTGTGATTTATCAGAATAAAATTTTATCCATAATGGAGTTATACTCTACCAGCTCAGTGCCCAAGTTTTATGCTTATATCAATAAAGAAGGGATTACTAGTGAATAATAGCTACCCGCTAGAATTCATTCAGAAATCTATGAAAACCAACGGAAACAAATAATATTAGTGATGAAAGTAACACAAATAGAATGGAATTCAAAGCCTCTATAGTACCACTGTATAAAAAAGGAACATCAGATGCCATAATTCGAATTTTCAATGAATCAACTCTTGCAGAGGTAAACTTTATCGGCTTAAGGACTCGATAAATCCAATTAAGAAAAATGATTTTATAATTTACCAAATATTATTTAATAATAATAATAGTAAAGCTTTATTTTAGACAATATGTGAACATATAATTAGAAGTTAATTGGTGGCTGGTGACTAGCAGTGGAATCCGCCAGGATAACGCATATTTCATCCTGATTCCACATACATTCCAAGTCAGTAATGTTGTTCCCATCGAGGCTCGAACTCAGTGCCAATAGTTTCAAACACCAGCCAAAGCGTTATGGACTAGACCACTTGGGGCACGAGAGCCACTGCCTCTTGTGCAATGGGTCATATTACTTATATAATTCAATTTTAAATTTTCCCATCGATGGACTGGACTGAAGTGCTTCGACTAGCACTGTTAATTACATGCTCAGACATCGTCGAAGCATCTGCACAAGAAGCCAACATATCAACGTGAGAGTGAGCACTTCGGTCCAATCAATCGACAGGAAAATCTTAAGTTGAATCAAATACTAACTATGTGAACATATATCGTAGACATTTTCAGAGTATTTAGTTCCAAAATATTTCCTCTTCAAAGAGGATTTACACGTAGATGAATCATGTGAAGTACATCATTTGTTGCAGCGTTTGTTATTTCATATGAAAAAAGAGAACCAATTCTATGCATTTTTTCTTCAATTCCTCCAAGAATTGCACATATCCGCGACTTCATGTGCTGGCCGTTTGATATAATTGCACGAATTAAAACAATATGAAATTCAAAGGAGTTTAAGCATTTTAATGGATTTAAGCAGGTCACCGTGAGTAGCTAAACTATAAGGTCAATTATTCAGGGGTCAAACTAGTCAATCAGATTATTGGAACATAAAAAAAATTTACCTAGACATAGAATAATAAGTGACCCGGCTAAGTTAGATAACCTAGAAAAAAGCCCTGTCAATGCATTCCATTCATTTGCATATAATTACATAATAATCGAAATAGTAATCGAAATTTATATATAAAAAGGTGGAGAGAGAGGGAGTGATAGGTTGATCGCTGAATCTTCGTCCATCAAATCAACACTACACATATGCAATCGAAACAACTCAACGCTTATGCTCGAGATATTGAGGAAAGCGGCAAACAACAAGGAGAGATTCAAGTGTTGGTTTTTAGGGATTTGATTGGTTACAGGATTTTCATCATGAGCTGATATTAGCTAGAGAACTATTGGAAAACCTGGGAGTACTGGACAGCTGATTCCTCCCTCCTACTTTGGGACTCTTCTGCAGTACTTACCCACCAGGATTCGAACCCAGGACCTTCTGGTTACAAGGCGAGCTAGCTCGTAGACTATTAAGCCACTGGGATCCGTTTCAATGGCCCACGAATTACAACTTCTGCCAATTCACGACATAGCGTGACCCCAGCCAATGTCTTCGGCGAGTATTTGTCCTCACACCCGACCTGCTGCACCCTACCGGTCACGACTTCTCACTAGAACGCCAGGTAACTATGGGGTAACAAGGAGAGAGACTAAACTGAAATGACTATGAGCAATAACCTTGCGTTCGAGAAATTTGCCTAAATTTGCCTCCTCTGTGTGTATATATCAGTTTGACTGCAGCTGTGGAGCTGTTGAGTTATATTAGTCAAGTTCATCATCGTATTTCTTAACATCATTCTTGCACGGTTAAGCTAAGAACAAACAAGATCTATCCGTAGCTGCGTTTTAACACACCTTGTAGATATTCAGCATAAGGTTAACATTATAAACATTGTTTCAAATTTAGATATCATAGAGAAGATTTGAAGCTCAGGTGGATTATTTTGATGTGGTTGTGTTCTTTGAGTTGGATGGTTAATTTGCGAAGCTTTCATGAAGACCTTCTGCTTACAAGGCCGGCTAGCTAGGTCATAGGTCATTAAGCCACTGTGACCAACCTGATCCAATGGCCAGCGCATCAATTCTGACTTCTACCAATTCACGACATAGTCCGACCACCAGCCGGTGTCCTCATGCCCGACCTGTCTTTATTACATTACATCGAGACTGGATTGTGCTTCCCTGTGTTCATTTTTTTAATGAATTTTAAAGTATTAATGGTATAAACTAATGTAATACAACAAGACGATAGCATCAAATTACATCATAAGGTAAAACAAAGGATTGTTGACTTTAGTGTCACGTTGTATAAAAACACATGGAAGTCATTGAAAAATACAACCTCTTTCTCTTTCTATATATATAACTATATATAATAATAATTTGCTTTATCCCAAAACAGTACTTGTGATACAGAATGGAATTCTCAGCATTTCACCACAGTATTGCATCCAGTTTGTATATTATCAATAAATAAAATTCCACATAGATTAAGGGTAATCTCAGTTCGTTTTGACAACAACATATTGACATGTCGGTAGCAGAGCCGAAATTGAACAGAATAATTGAAGAATGTTTTAATAGAGTTTGCAAGGAAGAAAGAAACAAAGCAGCACATAACAGAAAAGGAGAAAGAGAAAAGGAAAAGAAATAAATAAAACGTTGTACCTGTAAATGATGTGAGTTGGAAGGACGAGATCCAGTTGTTCTACTGACTATTCAATAAGTTGTAGGCATCACGCCTAATGCTCTCTTTATCTCACAGAATACGAGCTAAGTAGGTAGGGTATGGTTGAGTTTTTGTACTTTCTAATGCGAGCATATAGTTTTCTATTTAGACTTCTGGTTCTGTCTGATGAGATAGAAGGGGAGAGTTGTGAATGAAGAGGGTGGTGTGAGTTAGATAGATAGAATGGATTTGGCCCATTTTACCCATGAGTTCAAGTGCCTGTCGACCAGAATATTAACAAGCTGGTTAAATGGCACGTTGCTTACCCTGCTGACAACCTTTAACGTCCTGCGTAATAAGGTATAGTCTTTCTTCAGTAGCCAGCCCAGGAAAAACTGAGGGGGAACAACAGAGAATAATAGGCAGAATGCGAGAGTTAACGAATTGTAGGAGCGAGGGTTGGGTTGGGTTATTCCAGAATGTCTTAACTTCTTGATGTAGGAGGTAAGATGGAATATTTTCATAGAAATCATCATCAAGATGTGAGACGAGCAGGAAAGATCAGCAGATAGAATGACGCCAAGATATTTTTTAAATTTCCGACTTGGTCTCTCTCTATTTCAGTGCCATCATCTATCTATGTTGCACACCTCGTGAGTGCTAACCAGCAGTTTGTTTAGGTCAGTCAGATTTATGCCTTAAGGAGGTGAAATTGACTGTTTGGCATTTGGGAGAGGGGTGTAAGGTAAGACCGCTTTTCCTTGGACCACTGGCTGATTTGTGATAAAAAGCCAGTTAGTTTGGAGTAGTCAGGCAAAGATACAGTCAGGTTGTCAGTATATTTAACAAAATTAATGTCATTTGTATATATATATATATAAAGATATAATTATATAGAAATAGCTTACCATATGTTTATTTCGGCATTCAGAGGTTAAATCGACCATCATTTTATCACAGTTATATTCCTTTCTATTATGACATATATAAGTATAGATGTATCCTGTTAAAGTTCCCAGTTTTTTAATGCTAAAAGAATAATTACAAGTACACAGATTCTCCTCTTTCCGTGGGTAAATGGAAATCGTCAGTCTTCTTGTTCTTGTTGGCGTTGTTCTTGTTGTTGCCGAAAGAGAGATTCTGTGTTTCACCTTCTAAAACTGACTGACTACTTCCTCTTACTGTTTCTATTTTTTTAACAACTGTCGGTAATTTTTTGCTTTTATCAAGGAGAAATTTGTGAGGAAAACTTTAAAATCTAAAAAATACAATACTTCAAAAAGAAGATGGAACAAACGGCAGTAATTTTCTCCAAGATTCATGTGAAGCGTAGTTTTGTTATTCTCACCAACATTATCGTTCACATAAGACATTATCGTGCATTTTGTGCTCAAGATAATTAATTTAATAAAAGATGTTCAAATGTAAATGGTTAGTGATAACTTTTGTTTTATTACTACCACCACTGTTAAAAGTGCTTTTAATCAAAGTTTCTTTTTTCTCTGTGTGTGTGTATTTGTGTTTGTGGGTGTACACACATATGATGTACAATTATCGACAGATAGACATTCCATAAGTTCACAACAAAATTGGTCAATTCTCAGTATTGCGTTACATATATATATGTAGCTATATTTCAAACTCTCTTCTTTTGACCAGTATTGATTATTAGTGTGAAAGATACGAGTTTAGATGTATATTAGATGTATTTTACAATACAAATAGTAATAATAATAATATTATTATTAAGTGTTCAATGTACATACATATATACTTAGTTTTGTTTGTTTAAATCATTAACGAAACATGTAGCCATGACAACAATATTTGATCAGATTTTAAAAAGTTCATTGAACTAATATTCTTAAAAATCAAATTATTTATTTTCACTTGAAGCTGTTTTATCAGTTTATTGTACAATATGTGTCATATTATATATATATGCTTGAATAAACAATTGAATGAATTCCGATCATTTGTGTATTTCAATGTTTCAGTGTCGTAATAGATTCATGTTCAATGTCCAATATGTTTATAATTATATTGAATACATTGAGTACACCGATGATAATAATATAATAATGACAATAATAGTCAAGAAATTTAATGTTTACGCTTCTACTGTTCTGCTAAAAGCGTGCAAAACTCACATATATATATGTTTGTGCACAGTGATTTGTGTTCACCAATGTTGTATTGTACTTTCCACCTATCAGACAATAAATAAATAATAAGTTGAATAAAGGCGATTGTGCAAAGTAAAAAATGGTTTTGGATAAAGTCATCTTAAAATCTATATACGCCCGTGGTCTAGTAGTTACTAGCCTAGTTACTAATAAAAATGCAGTGTACCAGTATGAATGAATGTGTGTTGCTTAGCCCAATGATTGCATCATTGCTGGTTAGCAGCACCATATGTATATGCACAAAAATCAGTGGTGGTAAGATGAAGGGTAAGGAGGGAAAATGGTGTAATTTTGTTGATACAATAAGATGAAAGTTTGGTGCATAGGGGGAAGTAACAAGTTGGGAAGCACACAACAAAGGGGAGTTTGGATTGGATTGCCGCCTAGAAAATTTATTGGGAGTTTTTTCTCTCTCCATTTATTCTTTCTAATGTGAATTTCTGATTTTTTGATGGTGAGAGAAGACATTGCAGTAGACACGTGTATTTTTCTACCGGAAAGCACAGCAAGACGAATAGCAAAGGTAAGAAAAACAAAAGAAAGAAAGAAAGAAGACAAGAGAAGAGGAAAGATGGTGAATAGTGATCACAAAATTTTGTGCTGATGATGAAGAAAACAATCATAGCACTGTGTTGTATTGTGTTGTGTTGTCGTGTCGGTGTGTGTTGATGTTATCCCTGTTGTTGTTGTTGTTGTTGTTGGGTAGCTGTTGTACTTGAATGCTTCCAACCTATGTGGTAAACTTAATTCACATTTTCAAGTGAAAGTTATGATAGGAACACTGTAGGCCAAAATAATTTGTACACCAACTCAGCAGGTGACAGCAGTTGAAGCAAAAACAAAAAAGAAAAATATTTACGAGGTGGGAGAAATCTGTTTATACTGAATTGGAGGTGGATGGTGGTAGGGGGTGGTGTCGGTAGTTTGAATCACAAATCTTCATCTTACAGAGGAAGAAAAATTGTTGGGAAAGCCATTTCAATAAGCTGTTAACACAATTCTTCCATTCTATTCTATTCCTAGTTACATTTGAGGTTGAAGTTTTGATCTTCTATTTTTACAGTAATTAACTAGATTAGTCTTTAAATTGTTCAATTTAGTTTCGATCTGATTGCTATTCGTCTTATTTTAATATTCAACTGCAACATGAGCGATTTTTCAAAGTTATTAGATTATTATTCACATGTTGGTTTGTAGGGATTACATTTATTGGTTACAGGATTTCATCATGACCTGACATCAGTTAGAGAACCATTGGAAACAATCACCTGAGAGTACTCGATAGATGTTTGCTCCGTCTTACTTTAAGACTCTTCAGCAATATGTGCACCCACCAACACGGTTCGAACCCAGGACCTTCTGTTTACAAGGCCGGTGAGCTAGCTCGTAGACCATTAAGCCACTCACTGGGACCCACTCGATCCAATGACCAGCCAGCCCATGAATTCTAACTTTTGACAATTCACGACCAATGTCAGCTCATCATGAAATCCTGTAACCAATCAATCAAATCCCTACAAACCAACACTTGAACATCAATGAGACGCTCACTGGCAACTTGACATATTCAGGTAGGCAGTTACCTGGGGTTCTAGTGGGAAGTCGAGACCATTAGGGTTCAGCAAGTCAGGTGTGAGGACAAATACTCGCCGAAGACATTGGCTAGTGGTCGCGATATGTCGTGAATTGGCAGAAGTTAGAATTCATGGATTAGCTGGCCATTAGATCAGGTGGATCCCAGTGGCTTAATAGACTACGAGCTAGTTCGCCGGCCTTGTAACCAGAAGGTCCTGAGTTCAAGCCCTAGTTATGGAGTGGGTGCGTGCTGCTGAAGAGTCACGAGGTAGGACTGGGGAAACAGCTGTCCAGTACTCCCAGGTGATTGTTTCCATTGTTCTCTAACTGATGTCAGGTCATGATGAAATCCTGTAACCAATCAATGTAATCCCTACAAACCAATACTTGAATTACCAAGTTAGTTGAGACACCCAAACATTGGGTATAAATACTGCGACTACATCGTAGAGGAGGCGACATTTTCCAAATAGTTTTCCCGTTACAGTTAGGTTTTCAAATTTTAATGGGGATTTTAACAACTGTAAAGTGTCAGCTGTACGACAACGGCACATGTCAAGTGATCCAAAACGGAAAACTCAGTGAGGCTTTTGCAGTAAACACAGAAATCAGACAAGGGTGCTGATTATCGCCAATGATATTCCTAATTGTGGTGGATTGACTGGATTATGCGTCAGATAGTGGGAAACGAGAAACGGGATAGGGATATCCTGGACCGACGTGAAGAACCCAGAAGAGCTGGATTTCGCGCGTGGATGATTTATGTTTGATGTCAACTAAAATCGAAGACTTACAAGGCAAAACCGAAAAAGTGGTCGAAGAGGCAGCCGGCGAAAACAGGACTCCAGGTGAACATAGACAAGACGGAGGTTATGAAAATAACCAACCAACCAACAACAACAACAGCAGGCACAGCAACATCCAGCGCCAATCACCATCAACGGGAGGGAGGGATTTGAAAGAGGTTACTTCATTCCCTTACCTAGAATGAAGCATTGTCTTAACTACAGGCAGTCGGAACAGATGAGGATGTCAAATCGTACGAGAATCGGGAAGGCGAGAAACAAACACGTTCATCAACTTGAAGCCAATCAGGAAATCTTCGTCACTCAGCCAGCATCAACAACAAAATTCGTTTGGGTTTTCAATACAAATAACGTCAAGTCAGTCAGTTCTTCTATAAAGATCAGAAACTTGGCGGGTGGCTCACAAAAATATTTCCAACAGGTCACCGCAGACCTTTATGAAAAACTATCTTCGCTGGATCTATACTGAAGATCAGATCAGATGGCCGGGCCGGAAAGAATCACCAACAAGAAACTATGGCTGGGAAGAAACAAACAAAAGAAGAACCAATCAGTCGCCAACCAACAAATAAGCAGGAGAAAGTGGAGGGAGATGGATTAGACACTCGCGGTTGAGGAGGCCGCCACTGGGCGACATCGCGTGCGCGTCAGGCCATTGGTCGAGTGGAACCAGGCCGAAAGGGAAGCGGTGACGACTGGGACGTCAGTGTAAGGGTGACATGGAGGAGATGGTGTGAAGAGGAGTTGAAACAGTATGGACTAACATGCATGGATACGGGTGAAAAGTACAGCAGAAGGAAAACAGAAGTGGCAAGTGGAGACGTGCAGTTGAAGCCGTATTTTCCACTAGGAACCCAAGGGAACAATAATAATAATAGTAAAGTGTGACAATAAAGTCGGGTCATTACTAGTTATTAGGTGGCTGTACATCATCTCAAGAAGTCATACTAGTGTTAACTATGAACACTAGGAGACTTTTGACTTCATTCAACTCATAACTACTACTAGAGTTACAAAGTTAGTATTTCGATGGTGACCAGCTGTAGAATCCAGAGGATATAGCTGCTCTACAGTGAATGATGATGATGATGTCTCCGCTGAGACTTTACTTCAGACACCCAGATGTTATTGACTAAGGCACTGGGTTAAGAGAGGCATCTCTTGTGCAACTGGTACAACATGAAAATTATTTCCATAGGTGATTAAATAATATTGAAGTCTGATAGATTTCTGGGTAATTGTTAAAACTTGGAGGAATTATTTAGACTCATTCACTGGCGGATCCTTGCTGATTATTACGTCTACTGTGAACTTCTTACTGTATCTACTGACTTGTTAATTTCTTCATTGTCACCTGTTTAATAACTTTCATGATATAGTCCAGTCTATCTATAACTACTGTTCAGTTGCCCTTATCAGCCTTTTTGATGACGATGTTTTCATCTTTTTGATTTATGGCTGTTTGGCTGTTCTTTCTCTTAATGTTTTAGTGTTAAATCGCACTACACTCAGACCTTTTCTGTTATTGTCTTAGTGATGGAACCTAGTGCTATCTCTGTTCTAGAAATGGTAGCCTGTGTCTTCAATTCATTAACAGTCACGTTGAACTATATTTCCTTTCTCAAGCTTATAAGTTCAGTTCTCCTGTTGACAGGTTGATCACCCGCTCTATTTCTGTCGACAGTCGATAAGACTTCATTGTCAACTTTCTTATTTTCTGTATTGTGCTATTTTTGTCAGTCACTTCGTCGAATTTCTTAATTTGTGTGTTATTTGGCATTTAAAAAAAAGTTTGCTTCTCTAACCTTTATACATGTTTCAACCAGGATTACGTAATCTTTGCCGGTGTGATTATCCATTTGAGTTTAGTTTTGAGATTCTCAACTTCATATCATAAATGTGT